CATCTGTTTGACCAACTCTGTAACACTGCCGGACTTGAACACCCTTGATAACAGGTTGTTTCTAAAGTGCATGATCTCTTGCCTTGACCTGACCATGTACTCAATCGTGACCAACCTCAAGGCCTCAAACCCGTTCTTCTCGCCATAGGACTCGCTGTAGGCCATCAAAATGATGCGAGCCTTGGGCACGTCTCGAAAGACCTGGCGAAGGATATTCAAAAGGCGAAGGCCCCTTGATTTCTGTTCTTCTGTCAGCATGTGGGGTTCAATCGTCGTTTTCGAGGTGGCTGCAAATCTGACTTCTTGACTGAACTTTTCCGACACCAAACCCAGCCATGATGTCAGTGACTCCAGGAAATTCTCATACCCCAGAATCTCATCTGTCCTGGTCTTCCATGAAGACGTGTTGATCGTTGGCATCGATGGCAACCACTTGTCCGACCTTTGCAGTGCGTCAAGCTGAAAACTCTGCGATCCGCTTCCAGATGACGAACTTGGCACTTGAGTACCAGCTGGAGCGGCACCTGATGAGCCTAATGGTATGGAAGTCCCATCGGGCAAAACCAACTTTGCAACACCAATGGATGCGGCTTGCTGACCTGAGGTGGTCTGTGCAGCGGCTTCGAATGGCGACGACAAACCTCCGTTAGGCGTCGGCTTCGAAGGCATTGGTTTGCTGTCCAAATTGAATGGACTGTCACGAGGCTTTCGAGGTGTAATCGGCAGCTGTGTGGCTTAAGCACGCAAAGAATCCAATTGAACCTGCTGAGTCTGGAACGCTGTTTGCGCTTGTTTCATAACTTCTTGTTGCTGTTGAACCATTCCAGCAAGTGTCACAATTTGGCTATTCATACCAACCAATGACTGTGTCATACTGTTCAACTGGCTTTCCAACCGAGACGAAACCGCTGGTGGCAATGTACTAGGATGAGGAGCTTCTACCACTGCAGGCAAAGAACGAAGCCGTCTTCGGCCTCGAGGTGAACGATCTCTAAGGTCACCTCCACCGTTCTCAGATTCATCTCCCATGGCTCGAGCTCGTGTTCGGATATGAGTGCTGTGGTTCCCCAAAAGGTTCTGGATCGAATTAATTATGAGCACCATGTGCTCCGCTACCATGCGGAATTTCTGAACCAGATTGGAACATGTGGGGAACCTAACATGAAGCATGAAAGGGAACATGGGACATGACCCGAACCCAAACACACATCGCACCTTTTCTCGCTGACTCATGTCATGCGTTCGAACGACGAATGGCTCGGCCTTGAGCCAATGCAGGCATAGGATCGGTTGATCCGTGCACCATGGTTGGGAATCCATCCACAACGAAGGTTGACAATGGCCACATTGGAGACCTTCTGGATATCTAGAGCTTCAACTCATAGACTCCCAAAACTTGCATAGTAACCTTCACGGTCACAACTGGAAATGACTGGATCACGAGTGATTTCAACTTTCCACAGTAATTGGTTCTTCTGTCCAAGAATGTCCAAGAACATTAACATGTCTAAAAAGATTCTAGGCCTTCATATCCCTTTATGTCGCTCATGTTATCTCATTTTCGTTCCAAAGTTTTCCCAAGCCCAAGGCCCAACGTCCCCACTCTCCGAGCTCGGGGCAATTCCAGCAGGAGTTGGAGCGCGTAATCCTGCCCCCGCGGAGTTGTGGCTCCGTGGAAACAGAGAGAGCTTGGGGAAGACCATCATCCTATCGCATTTGGAACAGGCCCAACGTCACCTAGAAGAAGAGAAGAGCAAAGGTTGGACTATAGTTACACTCCCTGAAATCATGGAAATGAAGTAAATGTCTGTATAACTATAAATATGTGGAGCCAATCTACGTGGGACTTCAAAACAGATGTGCCCCCCAAAAGTTCTCCCTCACAACCCGGTTGGCCCAAAAGCTCTTTCGCCCCAAAACCGCTTTTTTTTTTGGTGTGGTTTTTGACGTTCGGAGGCGAGTTGGTGTCTGCATCCCGCATCATCTGTAGGTATCAACGGCTCAGAACTCAGAAGGGTTTGTTGATTTCACTACATGGGATTCATGGGATCCAAAGTATGAAAAGTGTAGGGGAAGTCACGGAAGTCACGGAAGTCCCATTGGGGTTCAGTGGATGATGGGTTCAGCTGCAGGCCTTTCTCTAATAATGATGTTCGTGTTGAAGCGACTGGTACAGGTTTTCGAGGACACCCCGAAAGTATCACCTCCAACTCCAACTCGTGTGCATTGGAACTCGGGAGACCTCCACCCCATGTCCTGGTCTATGTCCTATAGTCATCTATAGTCTATTTCCTGAACCTGACATACCCCCCCGGGGTCGGAACGGCTATGTCGGTCTCCCTCATGTCCGACTTCTCCAGCCTTCCTCGTTCCTTCAGACCGCGCCACCCGACACACCACGACACCAGCACCGGAGCCCGGTTCCGACATGGAGGCGACCGTGCTGCACTGGTCGCAGGTGGTGACCGAACTTGGAGGGAATGGCCCTGTTTGAATGTAATACATCTGAGGATCCTCTGAATCCGTCCGGACGGGTATGGAGAAACCGAACGAAGAAACACAACCCCCAGAACTTCCAAATCATCCCCTATCCATCTGGGGGACTCCCTCACGACGTGCCCTGTCTCTCCACCGGACGCGAAACATGCCCCGTCTCGGCGTTGTTCGCCAATCGAGGAAGGCCGAGAACACAGGTCCAAACGGCGTGAGATGGAGGCAATCACACCACACATCCTATACCAGGACCCGACTCTACAGGTCACCAATTGAGACCTGTTAGGGTCCAACAACCCTCAACTAACAGTCTGGCCAGGAGAGTGCTGGTAGTGGTGTCAGAGGTTTAGTAGTCCTTAACACACTTTTGAGACTACCACTTTGAGATGGAGGTGCAACGCTTAACCACCCAACTTGGGGATTGTGATCTACTTTCAATCCACTATTAAGAACCCCAAGACACTGGCCTCAACGACAGGCCTCAAACTACCAGGCAGATTATTAAAACCCTTCCGAATCATAGACATCTGCTCAATGTAGGCATCAAATCTGTGGATCTTCCTTAGCCGCCTTAGCCTGTTGTTCATGTCGTCCACTTGAAACCAGACTCCATGGACAAGACACCCGTGCGGCCAGAACAACGAACTCGTCAGGAAACTCACCTTTTCCGAGTTGGCTCCGATATCTTAGCCAGTGGATCCCAGTTATAGTATGAGGAAACATGTCTTCTAGGTCTGCGGTATTAGTTCTTCGAGCAGGTGGTAACCTGTTATATAGTGGTAACTGGATCCGCTAGGAAAGATATCTATTTCTATTATATAGATCGTGTTTCCATTATGCCCGCTCGACCCAGCCTCATAGGAGGCAATGCCACTGGGAGGTGTTTGTCCAGATGCCCTGGACGCGCGCAAGTGCGGTTGCGAGTCGAAATGAAAAGGTTGGTGGGACTGGCTGCGAGTCCGACCAAACACATCGTTCGTGACTGCTTTTTTTTTTTAACCATGTCACGTGGACGAAAACGCAGAACACCCGACGTTCCGTCGAATTCTTGCTATTTCTTGGGGGGAGGCTAGATTGCATCATACATTCAAACAATGGTTCTTCATTATAAGCATCCACCATCTTAGATTTTGTTGCATGTGTATATTGATTCTTTTAAAACTTTAAAGCAGATCGTTCACGTGCTGAATAACTGCCCATAGTCTAGCAAAGTTGAATGAAGTCAAAAAGTTACACAAATATGTTTCCAACATTATTTGACCCAACAACACCCCCAAGGGGCTTTAGAACCAGACATGTTCTTCCTTTGACTGCGGGTCATTCTGATTGCTCCACGTAAGTGAACCCTGTATATCAGAAAAGCAAACCAACCCCCCTGCAAACGGCAGAAGAGTCATGGCCACGCGGCGACGAACACGGGGGCCAACACAGCGGAAAATAGGTTTGATGCACGAGGTACCAAAATCAGCTGTAACCTCCAGAGCGACATTGACTCGTTTCTACAAACGCCCGCAGACAGCGATGGCGATGCAGCTTAAGACATCTAGCGATGCAGGTGGCAGATCCTTCCACTGCACCACCTCTGGCCCTGCGATGAATAAGACTGCGTTCTTTTGCTCCGTTGGTTCTCTCTTCTTCTTCCTTTTCTTGGGCGAACTAGCCTGAGGAAGATCGGTTGCATCGGAGGAGAGCGTCTCCCAAGCTTTGTTTCTGCCATCATACTCGGAAGTTGGCAACAAGGATTCTTTGCTGATCCAGCAGATACCAGTTCACTAGAACTCTGCTCAGACTGAAGCTGCACTACTCTTTGAAACCTGGCCTGGCATGGTCACCTGTGCTCTCTGCGCTAAAACCGTCTAAAGCAGGCCTGGGCATATTGAACCCAACAGTTGGTTTTCATCTGCCGCAGTGGCGGCGGCCTGTCATAGCGAGACTGTATCAAATTCTTTTGACACGCTTCCACAGGCTTGCTCAACAGCCATAAATGTTCGGTCTGTTCATTGAGATGACCAGTCGCAAACGATCCATTTCGAGTTCGCGCCCACCTTCCAAGCAAGGTCTCTCATGCTCAGGCATCCGTCTAAGGGAGTGACCGTCGAAGCGAGCCAAAGCCTTCAGGAAAAAGAAACAGTGCTATGGGTTCACCTAATTCTGCATTTAGGTTTAACTATGTTCAAAGGTTGGCCTGGCCACTGTTTGGCGGCGCTCTTCCTTTCAAGTGTAAACAACTGTACATAAGTTTTGGTAGTGATGGCCATTGTTTGGCAAGGCACCGCCTCTTGCAGAGCCACTAGTCATGTCAGCGTCATCTCCCACAGAGTTCATCCACCCAGGTTGAGTTTTTAACCCCACTTGATTGCCAACACTTAGCTGTTCGCCCATCCCCATCGTGTTTCTTTACTGCCATCGGCTGAAGATCTCGAGGCCCAAACCCGAACTGGAGGGACTCCCAGGGGAATCAGGATGGCGGACACCACTACCAGGCTACCGGCTACCAGCTACCACCCTCAAGACGGATCTGCGGGGGACCGACAGCCCGAGCGCGAGCTGGGTGGCCCGAGCGCGGCGACCTCGCAGGCGTGCAAGGCTTCCTGGTAGATCTTCAGTTCCCGCTGCACCTTGGGTCCACCCAATGATCACCCAGTCTTCGGGGAAGAGTCGCAACGGGAGAGGGGATCGGATGCACAGCCTCCGGTTAGGCCGATTTATGTTTAGGCCGAGAATGTAGGAGTCACTTGCAGGTACGTTGAATGACGCTTATTTGGGGGCCAATACATGGTCTTTCCCTATCAAAACCATGGGTTCAAAGGGGTTCTAAGGTAATATCAAGACCGGATGTCCACTCCCCCAAAGGAGGAGGAGGAGGTAGTAGTAGTAGTAGCCTCAGAACCCTGGCTCAAACCAATGCAAACCAACCCCAACTAGGAAAATCACCATACCTCTGAAAGAGTTATGACATTTGTTGCGAAGCCTTGAATTGATCTCCTTCCAACTCCTCTCACCCCCGCTGCATCTCGGATTTCATCCCCCCTCCCCTCCCGCTGCCGCACGAGTCGCTGGCTGCTCCGAAGCGCGACCCCAGTTCTGCCGGCGCTGGAGCGCTGCGTCGAAGAACTGCAAGGCACGGTCCTCAGCGTTCGCATCGGATGCACCGGAACTGGACGTGACCAGGATGCCAAGCATGAAAAAACGACCATGAGAATCCATGAGAATCCCACAGAATCATGGTGTTTTGTCTTTATAAATGCGTGTTAGTGTTTTGGTTGTGGTGGTTAAAACTGAGTGTTTACACAAAACCCGGCTGCACCACATGGTCTCATGGTCTTCCCATGTCTGGCAGTTGCAGGGGTTGCTTTCACTCGAACTTCCGAACGGCCGAGAAACCGGTGGTTTGCGGGGGGAACAGACCTGGTTGGTTCGCCCTCGTGGTTCTCGCACGCGACGCTAGTGGTTCAGAAGTTCAGAGGGGTTCATAGTCCCAGCTAGGGTCCCCGAAAGTCGGGGTTGCCAGATAGAGTGCCCTAGCCGGGACCCCACATCAGTGCCCAGCTAGGGCTGGTTGCCAGTAGATGTGTGTCAGATGTGAGTCAGTACGTATAGATGAGGCCTGGGAGCACAAGTGATTGAATTGGTCAGATTCGAATTCAACACCAGTTGAAGGGGTGCACAGGTGCACATCATCTTTGCCCAATAACATGTTCCTTAACATGCCCGAACGAATCGTTAAGAGTCAGAGAAGACATGAGAAGGAAAGTTTCGTCACTCATGATCTGAGCATGGTTTTAGCTTGAACAAATTCTGACCTGACCAATCTCTGTATATATTTCACTTTCCAGTCCACCTCCACATCCACTGAAGCCGAGTCGCAGGGTCATTGCCCGCCAAGCAAATCCGCATCAAAGCCTTTCTTGGCGAGATGACGCTGCACAGAACACACCACCATGAATATAACAGGCTTCACCCAACAACCATTGTTCTGCTAAGGATTTTACTCTGCAGGTCCCCAGGTCAACCACTAAAGGCTAGGACGTCGGAGCTCTGCCTCGAGTCTTTCTCTGTTGTTCTCTCACTTGCAGCAATAGTCTGACATAGTCTGCGTTGAGACCGTGGAAACTGCCCCCCCAAAAGAGCGGTCGCGACCGCCGCCCGGGTCGGTGCTTACCGCGGCACGGGGGCCTTGACCTTCCGGGCTCCCTTGAACGACCCATCGACCCTCGCGGCTCCTGCACTTCGACGATCTGTGGAGTCTTCAGAATTGGTTACACCCTGGTGGAACCCGACCGAACCTGAGGTTCGCCACGTCGAAGAATTGGGAACATCGCCGTCTGGTCATGTCTGGTCATGTCTGGTCCATGGTTCAAGTTCCAGGTGAACCTTCCGATATCGCAAAGGACGGTGCAGGGTTCTTTTGCGCCCAAAGAAACCGCAGGACGTCGTCAACCCAAATTCCACCAGGACCTTCAAATTGTCAAAGTGACCTAACTTGAGATCCCAGAACGAGGTCACTTAAGTCCAGAAAGAGGTCACTCAGAGACTCCAAAGAGGTCACTTTGAAGATCCTTGCACTGGGTGTGTGCGAGAAGGCAGGGATGACTTGGAATTGCTGAAGAGCCGGAGCCGACCAAGACATGCGCTGCACCCGTTCACCTCAAAACCAACGGTGACGTTTTCTCCGTGTTTTCTCCACCAACTGGGGGGCCTCCTAGGAGCCTCCTTGAAGTTGAATTTGCTGTCCAGGAACCGGACAAAAGCCAAAACATCAGTGAACATCAATTGAAGCAAAACCAGGTTTCCAGCAAAGCTGGATTTTCCTGAATTCCAGACCGCGCATTGTTTCTGGTTCCATCCGTTTTTCTCGGTTGTCGGCCCCAGTTAGACGACCACCCTCGATAGAGTATACGTATACCTCGCCTCCGTTCGACCATCCGAAAAAGAGGTACCTGGCCCCCTATGGCCTCCTGTGCCTTCCCATGGCCTCCTATGCCTTCCCATGGCTTCCTATGGGCAAGAATTCGATCGTGGTAATCGATCGCGCCATTCCTTGGAGACGCGTTCTGTTGTCTCGCCCTCGCCTCGTCGACCCTCTCATTGGTCCTGGGGCCGCGTGGAAAGGGCCAAAAAGGTCCTGCAGTCAAATGGTGTCCACGTGGGTTTGCAGTTCCAGCCAGGAGCCAGGGAGTCCCCATTTCTGGGAAAAGGGATCAAATTCATCCTATGCCGGCGGCCTGAGGGTCTCCTTCTTGAAATACATTGAAGGCATGTTCATGACAAGTGGTAGTCTGTTCATGGGGAAGTGGTCGTCAGGATTTTGGTGGGTTTTTCTGATGTTCCCTGATGAAAGACTTGCTGCAAAGCACTCCTTGTGTCAAAGAACTGCTGCAAAGCATTTTTCAAAAAACTGCTGCAAAGCATTTTTTCTTCAAAGCACTGCTGCAAAACATGTTTTCTTGAAAGAGCTGCTGCAAAGAATGTTTTCTTCAAAGCACTGCTGCAAAGCATGTTTTCTTGAAAGAGCTGCTGCAAAGCATGTTTTCTTGAAAGAGCTGCTGCAGAGCATACTTTCTTCAAAACACTGCTGCAAAGCATGTTTTCTTGAAAGAGCTGCTGCAAAGCATGTGTTCTTGAAAGAACTGCTGCAAAGCATGCTTTCTTCAAAGCACTGCTGCAAAGCACGTTTTCTTGAAAGAGCTGCTGCAAAGCATGCTTTCTTCAAAGCACTGCTGCAAAGCATGTGTTCTTGAAAGAACTGCTGCAAAGCTTTCTTGAAAGAATTGCTGCAAAGCAGTTGTTTAAAAAGCTGCTGCAAAGCAGTTCTTTCTACTATTGTTGAAAACAGGGTTGGGAGTTGGGGGAGCGGGGCCAGGGTTGGAGTTTTGTTGATAAACCCTTCATGGACAAATAAACAGTTTCGATCTTTTGTTGCTAGGTTTAAGTCCCTCTTGTCACAGTTTCAGGGTTTCAGTGAACTGCATATTTTGAGGTAACATGACCCAAAACAATCAGTAAGAGTAAAATACATTTGAGGGATATAAATTAATGTGACCCTCACTGGTTTCAATGCCATGTTTGAATAGCACTTCCACCACCATGATTCATGCCCCGTCTTGTCAGGATTGGCCCAGGAATTGTCAGGCACACACCAAGCTCATCAAGAACACGGGCTTCACCTATGTTAGTGCTGCAAAGCACTACCAGTCAGTGCTGCAAAGCACTGGCTGGGTCTGCTGCAAAGCACTGTCATGAATAGCTCAAAAGCAATGGGCTGCTGCAAAGCACCCCATGTCGCATAGGGCGACAGGCAAGGAGTTTCACCTGGCCCCCCATGGCCCGTTTTTTTCCATAGAGGTTGACCCCAATGTCAGCCCATCCCAAGTAGATTCAACATTCCAAGCAGTGAAATGTTGGGTGAGCTTCTCATTGGTAGCCAATGACCATCAGCCCTTTTGGGTGGGAGCGGCCTTAAGTGGACCCTCCCGTCATTGTCTCCATGGGTCGCAACATCTTGACTCCCCAGAGTACGATGGAATGAACCAAGCAAGTAACTGATTGGTGAGAGTTGAACGGGAGGATTAGAAAAAGGGTTGCGCAACCCCCCTGTCAGGTATTGGACTAATTGCAGCCACACATGATGTGTCATAATGCTCTCATACATGTTTTGAGTTTTGTAAAAGGATATGCACATTCTCAGCTTTATGGCACTGTACACACTAAATTGCTTACTGTTGCATACTCATGGGCATGTGAACACTGCAACACAACTATACTAATGCTACATTGTGTATGTGAATGTTGCACGCTGGTATATGTCAACATTGCATTGTGGCATATTGTGGCATAAGTCCATGGTGTTCTATGCACTGAGTGATGACATTGAATATAGATCTTTTAGATATGATTTTAGCATGCAAGGTCATACTTGTATATAATTATGGGAAGTTATAGCGACTACTGCTCTACTGTGCCAGTCCTTATCGAATTTATCCATCAGGAGCTTGAAAAAGATGACAAAGAGCACGCAAAAGTCTTTCAATGCTCCTTGGCTGCTGGCAGTGCAGCGCACATGTTCAAGTGCTTGTCTCACCAAGAAGCATGCTCTTCAAGTTACTGTACATGCTGCAAAATACCATCAAACACACCATTTTCACATTGCCCGCATGAAGAATTGTGCTTTTGGAAGCTGGTCTCCTGAACACACAATCAGTGTTGTTTGTGTGTTTGCACCCAGAGTAATCAGCTCAAAAATGCCTTGACAAAAGCTTATGATCAGCTTTGGTCCTTTGCCGGCGCCCTTCTCATCATCCTTTCTTTTCCTGTCAGTGCAAGAAAACTACATGTTCACCCCTTGTGCTTTGCAGCACCCCATGTGCTTTGCAGCACCCCATGTGCTTTGCAGCACCCCTTGTGCTTTGCAGCACATTGTTGCACATGCCTTCTTATGCGACTTCTTCTGCTTCTCAGGCAGCTTCTCCTGGTCAGGCTCCTGGTCAGGTGTGTTAATGATTCCAGACACTGTTGCTCTCTTCCTCTTCAACTTCAATTTTTTTCCTCTTCTTCACATTTTTGCCTTTTGGATCCAGATGGATCGTCCTCCACCCAAGCTCTCCACCCACCTCACAGCACACACACTTATGGATATGCGTACGGAACTGACAGCGGTGCCACTCGCCGGCCTAGGTTAGTTATAAGGCCTGAGGTGCCAGGAAATAGTAGGTTAAAGGCCAACGGTTTTGGGTTGGAGGTCAACGCGAGGCTGTTGGGGCCAAGACCTAAGGTTGGAGGCCATCGCTAGTAGGCGGTGGACCATAGACACAAAGTGACAGCAAAAGCAAAGTTGGAGGCCAGTGCTACAAGGTTACAAGAAGCACAAAAGCACAAGAAGCACAAGACAGCAAAACATCGAGTTGGGGGTCAATCTAGTGGGTAGAGGCCAAAGTTCAAGTTAAAGAACCCCTTACAAAGTTTGGACGCCTACCTGCAAACCTGTAGAGTAGCCTAGAGGAAAACAGAAGGAAAGGCACCGACACACAAGTGTGTCGAGTACCATTTCCTCCTGTTTTCCTAAATAGTGGAACAGGTACACAGTGGGGCGTCCCCACTGCATCAGCACCTGCTGGCATCCTCTTCGTTGGACGGGAAATGCCAGAGGTGTCCCGTCCCCCTGTTCCAAACCTTAAGGTTCCCTTTGATTCCAAGGGTTACACACACACGCCTCCCCGAAGGGAGGCATGTGTGGCCTCCATCCTGCCCGGAAAGGAGGTGGGCACATGTGCACGCAAAAGGGACAGATGAAAATGAGAAGGACGAGACAGACAAAGGTGTGTGTGGTTGCCGATGAAAAGGAACCAAGTGAAGAGGGACAACCGATGAGCCAAACCTCATTGTAACGAACCTGGGCCACCTAAACCTCGCTGTAAGTAGAGTACGCGTGCGTGTATGTGTACAAACTAAGGTCCGGACGATAGTGCGCGCAAGAGAAAGAAAGGATGAGGATGAAGAGACATGAAGACAGAAAGACATGAAAGAAAAGAAGGGCAAAAACGTCTGTGGGGGCGGATGAAAGGGGAACCAGATGAAAGGGGACAAACCGATGACAGTCCATACCTCATTGAGAAACCTGTTGTAGAAGCCTAGTTTGCTTGTAAATACGCCACGCGCGAGGAAAGAGGGGGGAGGGGAGGAGGAAAAGAGAAAGAGGGAGAGAAGGAGGCAAAGGTGTTCCCAGCTACGGCACAAGCGTCCAAGGACACACCAAAAAGGAAGGGCTCCCAGCTATGACGAAAGCATCCAGGGACGCCCAAGAAAGAGGGTGAAGAGAGGAAAAATAGAAGGAAAGAAAGAGAGAGGGAGAGAAAGGGAGAGGAGAGAAAGGAAGGTGTTCCCAGCTACGAACAATCGTCCAGGGACACACCAAAGAAAGAAAGGGGAGATCCTGAGTATTACATTCAGGAAAACCCCAGGAAGCAAAGAGAGAAAGGGGGAGGGAAGGGGGAGAAGGGGGCTAAGTTCTCCACTGGTTCCAATGAACCTTAAACTGGCTTTGACCGCTATGGTCACCTTGTGCCCTGCCGAAATGGCTGGCTGCTTTGACCGCTGCGGTCACGTAAAGGCACAAGCCAACTTGGAATTCCAAAAATGAGACAAACATCCCACTTCTTGAGGCATTAGCCAGCTTCGCTCGCTATGGGCACTTACGTTTCCGAAGCAAGGGAAACAACGACAAACCCCCGTTCGACGGGTCCACGGGAGGCACTCTGCGGGCTCACCCCGGGTTGGCACGAAGCCAAACACACTTATGGATATGCGTACGGAACTGACAGCGGTGCCACTCGCCGGCCTAGGTTAGTTATAAGGCCTGAGGTGCCAGGAAATAGTAGGTTAAAGGCCAACGGTTTTGGGTTGGAGGTCAACGCGAGGCTGTTGGGGCCAAGACCTAAGGTTGGAGGCCATCGCTAGTAGGCGGTGGACCATAGACACAAAGTGACAGCAAAAGCAAAGTTGGAGGTCATCGCTAGTAGGTTGGAGGCCAGGGTACCAAGTTGGAGGCCAGCGCTACCAGGTTACAAAGCACAAGAAAACCACAAGACAGTCAAAGTTGGAGGTCCTTGCTAGTGGGTAGAGGCCAGGGTACCAAGTTGGAGGCCAGTGCTACAAGGTTACAAGAAGCACAAAAGCACAAGAAGCACAAGACAGCAAAACATCGAGTTGGGGGTCAATCTAGTGGGTAGAGGCCAAAGTTCAAGTTAAAGAACCCCTTACAAAGTTTGGAGGCCTACCTGCAAACCTGTAGAGTAGCCTAGAGGAAAACAGAAGGAAAGGCACCGACACACAAGTGTGTCGAGTACCATTTCCTCCTGTTTTCCTAAATAGTGGAACAGGTACACAGTGGGGCGTCCCCCACTGCATCAGCACCTGCTGGCATCCTCTTCGTTGGACGGGAAATGCCAGAGGTGTTCCCGTCCCCCTGTTCCAAACCTTGGTTCCCTTTGATTCCAAGGGTTACACACACACGCGCATTTCTACACGTACTGCTTGAATGTTTGCTATCAGGTCCTGCCTCACCTGCTGAAGCTTCCCTGGCCTGCCTTTCCTCACACACACACACACAGCTCCACATGTTCTGCTTGAAGAGTGTTTTGCCATGAACTGTCCTGCACAGCAGACCAGCCAGGTTTGGGGCTAGCTCCTTTTGCTTTTGAAGACATTGCCTCCTGACCAAAGATGCTTGAAGAAGGTCACAACTGCAAACCAACAAAGCATGACAGCTGAAGAAGACCAGACCTTTGGATTTGAAGGATGTGCCACCTGAACAGCACTGCAGAGTTAGTTTGCTACTTGGGGCAAAGGTGAACCAGTTCAAATCTATGATAAGGCCCATACTCGCTGGCGTGGATCTTCTGGTGGACCTGGTGGTTCCGGCACTTTACCTCCATCCTGTGCAATGCACAAACACTGACAACAATAGCTGGCACTTTACCTCTTTACCTTTAGAGGAGGTAGCATTGATCTACATGCCTTTAAGTTGGCAGTAGTGCAATAAGTAAGGTCAAAGACAGGCCTGAGGTGGTGGTGGTGGCAAGGGCGGTGGCTGCCGGTGCAACTCTTGAAGGCCATCGTTGAAGCCAAGTTGAAGCACCACCCACATCATGATCCTCATCAGCATAGACAGCTGATCTTGTTCCCGTGAGCGCTGACGGGACTCATAGGCTGGAGGCCTGTTCCTTTTTGGGGCCATGGCAAGGATTTAGGTAGCTATGAGCTTGAAAATTGTCTTTTGTTGTTGTTGTTGCAACATTGCCTCTTCTGTATGATGCTATTGCAGAGCCAGAGGTTATTGTACTTCTTGTGTTATGATGCTTCTTGTGTTTGTGAGGTTATTGTGGAGGTTCTGTACTTCCTGTCCTTTATGACGTATTTGCCTTCTAATGTCATGTTTTTGTTCTACAGCCGGTCTTTGTGTGTTTCTCCCTGCTTCCATGTTTGAGCTAGCTGATCTCTGGGCTGCAAACTGCACAATATGAAAGTCTGATTAAGTGCTGGGGAGTCAAGATGTTGCGACCCATGGAGACAATGACGGGAGGGTCCACTTAAGGCCGCTCCCACCCAAAAGGGCTGATGGTCATTGGCTACCAATGAGAAGCTCACCCAACATTTCACTGCTTGGAATGTTGAATCTACTTGGGAGGGGCTGACATTGGGGTCAACCTTTATAGAAAAAACTGGCCATGGGGGCCAGGTGAAACAGTGCATTGAAAAAATAATGCAGTTCTTTGAAAAAAGAATGCTTTGCAGCAGTTCTTTCAAGAAATAATGCTTTGCAGCAGTTCTTTGACACAAGGAGTGCTTTGCAGCAATTCTTTCATCAGGAAACATTAGAAAAAACACGCAAAAATCCTGACGACCACTTCCCCATGAACAGACTACCACTTGTCATGAACATGCCTTATTGCAATACATGGACTTCTACGCATGCACAGCTCGAGCGATGCGATGCGATGCGCGCGTCCGAGGACACCGAGGACGCCTCCCTTGTGTGACGGACCACGGTCTGACCACGCATGAGTACTGTGCTAGTCTACTGGGGTAGTCTCCTGTCAACAAAAGTGGAATCTAAATTGCTTGGTCAAAAAGGTCTGGCCAATGAATGGCCTGGCATTCTGAGACCCTCCTCAAGACCAGCGAGCTTGCGCTTGCTGAGCGGCTGGCAGAAACCCCAGTTTCTGCTGGATTGGAAGAAAAGGGATTCGATATAGCGAACACTTGTAGAGCCTTTGGACCTACAACACCGCCTCGGAATATGAACACCTTGAGAGTGCTTTGAAAAAAGCATCCCGATCATCAGATCCCTTTTCGATCCGGAAACCATCTTCTTTCCGCTTCCGTCAGACTTCTGGGGTGCCCCTGCTTCAATCCACGCTGCTTCATCTTCTGAAACAGCAGCAAACCTCCATCGATGTCACCAGAGCCTCGGGCCGTTGCTGGCGCTGGCGGCATCCGACTCCTGCCCAATGGACTCCGGACTCCGGTACGGACTCCACTCGGTACAGACCATAGTTACGAGCTCTGGCATGGAAACTTCACACCCATGTCGCCCAGGTCCAGTTGATGCGTCGTAGTTGGGGGTTTGTATTTGATGGGGGACCTCCCAACCCGAGACCCCTGGATCGTTGATCTGTTGGTTTGATATGACCGAAGGTCCTTGGGGGTCCCCCTATTCCAAGACACACCCCATCTCCTTAGGGTGAAAACCACTTAGGCCACCCGGCCACGCCACCCGTTCCGCGAGCCCGCACGCACGCGGCCCCTTGGGAGGCCCTGGCGCTCGGCGGCGCGCATGCCGTAGATGAAGGTGGCTGTGTTGGGTGCCACCTCAGTTTTGGACCGGGCGCCCTCTTTCACTCCAAAAGTTGGCGGTGACGTTTTACGAGCTGAGCTGGCGTTTTTCGGGTTCACGTGGCTCCCCCGGCTTTTGGTTTTTCCATGTGTTTCCTGTCCAAAAGGGTGTGCAGTTCATGCGGTTTTGACGCTGCCAAAGCGCAGCCCGGCCTCTGTCCGTCCCAAGCAGGTCCCAGCCTCCGTCCCGCCTCCGTCTCGCAGGTCCCGCTAGATCCGGTGAAGATGGGGGGGTCCCATCTGTTGGCATCCTTGCTCCGTTCATAGCGATGCCCTTTGCTCCCTTCGTCTCCTAGTAAGGCCAGGAGTTTATAGGTGGGGCAGGTTGAGTGGCGGAACATTGCACAGAGTTGATGTTGCCCAACCAACACCTCATTTGGTGGAACACTGCAAGATCCAATCAGTGGATCCCTAATGATCCCTATTATACAGCCTATACTGAAACCTATGTCCAAAACCACAATGGACCACATGGACCCCCAAAACCCATGTGGTCCCTCTGTGGTGGTATAAATCACTGTTCTTCTTTCATCCCAAAACATCTCAATATAGATCCCAATGATTCAAAGCGTCTCCCACCCTCTTCACGCCGTCAACGGGGCTCCCGGCGCCCAGGTCCTCCATGTGATCCTCGGTCCGAGCGGCGAGGGCGGCGATGAAACCGGAGGACACCAGTCGATCGGCTGAGTGGAAACCGTGGAGTTCGGATCGATGGAGTGAGGTCTGAAGAATTTGGATCGATCGAGTCAGGATCCGAACAGCATATGGTTGACTGGAAGCTCCGTGGTGGTCCACCAGGTCTTCGATCGGAAGCTCCGTGGTGTGTTAAACACCAGGTCTTCGATTCGAACCGCTGGGATCTGCCGTAGAAATGCAGTGGGTTGTCTGGGGCTGCGGGGGGATTTGATGGGATTTGGTCATAGATGTTCATAAACCAGCACTCGACTTCACACGTGCTTCCTGTGTTTCCAAGTTCGGTGCCCAGGTTCACCACCTGTGGTCGGGTCTCCAAACAGCTTGGCCAGGAGGGTCCTGGAAGGGTCCAAATGTGTAGGATAAATTTCTTCCAGTCCCCTTTGTCTGGCTCGCTCAGCATGAATTAATCCATGGGACTGCTAAAAGTTACATACAATCATTTACCCAATGGACCTCGACGTCGTAGAATGCATTATATATAGATTATATATATCTAACTATTCTACACGATAGAAATATAGCACCAACGCAAACCACCCAACGATCCAATGATATCTAATGATAACTATTCCAAGAGGTGTTTGTAAATAGCCTCTTAGAGGTTTTAGGAGGTGTCCAAAAACCACCGGACTTGGTTCCGGTCCTGGTCATGATAACTATTCCACACATGGATGGTCTGCGTTGGGAGAGAGAGAGACCCCCCCGAAGGGTTCCCTCTCTTCGGAGTTCCTTGGGAGGTCGTGCTCGCGGTGCTCGCGGTGCTCGCGGTGCTCGCGGTGCTCGCTGTCCGATCATCACCGGAACTCCACTCTTGGGTGCGGAGAGTATTCTACAAACAAGAAACACATCTTCCAGAAATATGATCCCCTCAAAGCGATGCAGCTATGCTGGTGTATCGAGTCTGTGGCTCCTACATGGCCCAAATGCTCCAGAGGTGATGTGTTCTTCTCATGCACTTAGATATGCCCTACATCAACCAAGTGCAAGATAGGAGTATCAAAACACTCCTATCTTGGGCTGGCCTGCTGCGTTTCAGGGTTCATGTAGTTAGATAAAATTCGGTATGACGACTTCCTTCCTGGCATTGATCTGCACCACTTCAACGGCAAACACTCCACCACTTTGACCTCACACTGGAGGTAGACTTCAGCAGCATCAATTTGGACGTGCCGCCTTGAAAAAAGACATGGGGTGGTCAGATCTGGGCTCCCTTTACGGTCGCTGGCTAGATCTTCGCACAAAGCTGGAAACATACAGCATGAGCAACTTGGATTTGCTCAATAAGGAACCAGGAACATATCGAAAGATCTTCCTGTGTCAGGAGATTCATATACAGTAATAGTAATAGTTGTTCATTCCAATATGTACCATCCGCAAATCCAGGTCAACTTGGTCCATCTCGGGTTAAGCGAATCACCAGAGCCATACAGCGATTTCGCGAGCGATGAAACACTGACACCAGCCACATGTTTGGAGAAAGCTTGTTCCCCGAGTGACAGAAATGCTGACTGAAAGCAACAAATGAAAGAAACTGACATGGACTGCATTCTGGAGACACAAAAATCAAGAGGACCCTCACGGCACAAAAAGAACATAAAAGAGACCATGAATGGGGCCTCCTTGATTATTTTGGAATATCTCCAACCCATGGACCCCTCAGCAGACGAAGCAGTCGCCTACGTTCACTTGCATGTTGGCGAAACAGAGTCTATCGTAGTGACCCCCCCCGCAATAGATAGAAAGTAAAACAGAAACCATATGCAGCTGTCCATTAATGGACCACTATTCCACACCACCCAGCCAGCTTCCGTACCGGCTTCCCAGATCTGTCCAGTGGAAAAAGACACCTCTTTCCAGGCCGATTTCGCTCTTCCAAGACACCATGGTATCCAGAACCTGCTCCAACTCGCCAGCCATGCCTCAGCTTCAGCTCCGAAACCCAACACCGGCACTGGAGTTTAGGGGTGGACCCAAACGGACGCTCGTCTGTCCCTCCGTCTCTGCAGGGCCCCCCCGGTCCCTCGCTCGGGACTGGTCAGACCCATGACGCACCGACGCGGTCTGGACGGTGCCAGCGGCTGCCAGCGCCCAACGCGTTCGGTCTGGGAGTGAGAAAGAGTTGGCCCGTCAAGCTGAATGGACCAGGGCTGCAGGTTTTGACCCATCCCCGAATGAATCCAAATGAGTTCTGGATAGTTCTCCAGTCCCCCCCACAAAAAAATAACATCTTAGGAGGGTCAATCGGTATTGGAAGCCACCGCTGTGGATGGTATCCCTCTACTTGGTGATCTACTAAGTCTGGCACCTACGTTGGGGGCTCTTTTTCGCTCGCTTCAAAAGACTGGCATGAAACCCTAAACCCCTCAGAAGGCATGTTTCCTTTCATGCACTCGGAAAAGCAGATGCTGTTGCCTTTCGACTGACTGGTCTCCCCTCTGAACATCCCCAGGGAAGGGGGTAGCGACCCTCTGGGTAGTCTTCCAGACCCTTCCAGACCGGGATAGGCGTGTGACATGAGAGAGTGTGACATGGGAGGAGTGTGAATGTCCAAGACCAACGAAATGTGCCAGCAAGCTCCAACAAAGAGATTCATCTTGAAAACTGCACAAACCCCAAAAGCCCCAAATTCATGACATTAATCTAGACTCTTGATTAATAAACCCACCAATTTGAATTGGACATCCTCTTCAATTGGGATGCTTTATTTATCAAGAGTCTACATTACATTTCGGTCCATGTCCATGTCAGCCCGAATTCCGAGCGACCGCCGGCGGTCTCCGCCGCGAAAAGAATTCAGAGACGGAGCGACCACGGACCGCGGCACTGGCCCAAGCGCCACGCGCAACGCGGCACCGAAGACAGACGAAGCAACGAAGACGTGAAACGGAAAAGACACGTCGAAGACACTCCCTGATCAGATCCGGATTAGAAGTGGAGTGGACCAGCTGTTGATTCCGATGGGAAGGGCTTAAATGGCATGTCGTCATTTCTCTGAATATCTGGGAGGCGGTTCTCCAAATGCATCACATGTCCTACGAATATTTGTGTACATGAACTTCAGAGAGTCTGATAGTGTGCACTGGGACCCTCACGGGGGTCAGACCCCATGGCATCCTCAGACCAAACAGGTGGTGCCCTCCACGTCCATGGGATGAGGCGTAAGAGAGAAAACAGCGCTGGGAAGCCGCTCCATAGGCCATCACCAGGTGGTTGAAGGTCTGGCACAGGTGCGGCTGGTGAAACAGAGACAGGACCGGAAATAGCAGGTCCATCTTGGGCTGAGGTCGACGTGTTAATTTAGTTCGAATGTTAAGTTTCCCTAAAAATCTAGGAATCAAATCATTAGTGCGAGCGCTTCTTCAAGGAAGCTTCCCCCGCCGCCTTGAAGAAGCAGGAGTTATCCTGCGTCCAAATCCTAGTAGCTAAAAGGGAAGGTACTATAGATACCTCTTCTACCAGCTACCAGCTAACCTACGTCTTTGCGGCCCTCAGATGCCCGAAATGCATGTTGAGCCCGAAATGCAGAGCGCTCACCGTCGAACCCGGTTTCGTGCAGCCGGTTTCGTGGCTGTTTCGCTCGGATGGGACCGGTCCGCAGCCTGCCGGGTGGAGCCCTCCAACCTACTGTGGGTCTGATGGTTAGGTGGTGTTCAAAAGGAAGCAGCAGACAGAGACGTCAGGAATGACAGAGACGTCGTTCATGTATTTATACATTGCCACCATTTGACGTCTTCAAATGCAGGAGTCTTAGCTTTCATCCGTAGATACCCTAAACCCAACCGTGGTTGAAACAGGTTGAAACCGGACCGTCGGAGTGCCAATTGCTCCGAATCTGCCGAACACGGGCCGCCCTGCTCCAGCTCTCAATCTCACTCCCTCAGTTTGCCAAAGTAAAAGTTACATTCCCTGGAACTAACATGGAAGTGGAAAACCACCTGTTTGATAGTGGAAAATGGTCTTCCAAGGGACCATTCTCCACTTCCATGTTAGTTCCAGGGAGTGTAACCATTCTCCACCGGTTCTCATCTAATCCCCAACTCCCCAACCAAAAAGGTTTTGCAGGTCATCCACTTTTCCTGGGTAAGTCTCTCTTTTGCTTCATCCATGTCAATCCGTCTCCTTGGGTCAGCCTCCAGGGTCGGCGAGATGTCTTGTTCCACCATCTCTTCGAAGAGCTGGAGCCTCAGGTCGTGCAGAGCATGTTTTAGCATGTTCACCCTAGCATTCCCGGTCGTTTGAGCTTTGTTTTCCCATGTTTCACTGGAAAGACAGGTCAACATTTGGTTCGGTGTTTCGGAAGAAGTACCTGGACACCTGGAGCCACACCTCGAGATGCTCGGAGGACGGTTCTTTCTTCCTGAACGCCTCAAACATGAACCCGCAGCTTATGCATGATACGGTTCTTTCATGATTGGATTGATGATCAGTGATCTCCGACACCAGGATGGGAGAAGGGAGACAAAGGGGCACACAACAGAATTATCTCAGTTCAGCATCCAGCATCCAAGAAAGGCCGGTAAAGGAAAACCAAGCGAGACAAAGACAAAGCAGAATCATCTCAGCCCATGCAGAAGAGCCCATCGGAGACGTTGCGGGAGTGTTGTTCAGCTTTGCATCAGAGATCGGCGAGCCCACTCCTTCATGCTGAGTCTGCCTCTGGGAGCTGTGCAAGACGCTCACTGAGAACACGCGAGACGCTGCATCTTTCCGTGTGGCGAGCCAGCTCAGCATGCCACACTGATGTGTCCCATCCATGAATGGAAAGCATGTTCGTCCCAGGCGGTGTGAGGGTGCGCCACAGGGGTGAACTGGGACTGCATCCCCTGCTAGCTCCTAAGCTCTCCATGAGACGCGAACCATTAGGTAAGTGCAAAGCTAAGGGGACAGGAGGAGGCAAGGGGGGCAAGTCCACACTGCAGACTCCAGCAATATGGGGCAATCATAGTGGTGACGACACGACACTTCAAACACTTTGCGGAAGTCGTATGTGCAAAAAGAATCACTTCAAACACTTCAAAAAGTCGT